CCTTAGGGTTATCAGTAGCATTCTCCTAATACTAATCATTTAACTTTTTTTTTTTTACAAAGTTTTATAATTTTTAAACTACCTTTTAATTTTTAAAAATTAATGTTTATTTTGGTAATATATATATATATATATATATTAAAATATCTTTATTATTAAATTTTAATTATAATGTAATTCACATATTTAAAAATATTTTTTATTGTAAGTTTTAAGTTTATAATATAGTATTTATCTTGTGAAATGTATACATTAATAATACTAGTTAGCACAATATATCAATTGTAACATTATATATATAATTAGATAGTGAAATTAAATAAATGTAAAAATAATATATTTTTGGATAACTATGTTATTGATACTAAGTAGTTAATATTATTGATAACTAATTTATGTAGAAGAATCTAATTTGTCACTTTTAGTGAGGTCTCTCTTCTTATCACCTTTTATATATATATTTATAACCCAAAATCGAGATCTTGTTTAAGAAGATCAAGTCCAATGTTACTCAATCAATAACTTGTTGGTAATGTAAAATTTGGATATATTATATTTTATAATACATATTGTAAAAATAAATTATAACAATATTATTATTAGTGTATAACTATTAAAATGTTTTTTTTAAAATATTAAAATAACATGACTAAAATTGTAACTTAAATCCATCTTTAAAATACATTAAATCTATACTAAAGAGTAAAGAATCATTAATCTAATTTTTAAAATTAAAAATAAGAATTAAATTAGTAGACGGGGTATATGACAACGAGTTCTAATAGTTATCTTGAGATTGGCGAATGATGCACGTGGCTACAAAAAGTTAATATGCATTCGGCATCTCTTATGTGTGGGACGAATCATGAATATATGAAAATGAATTGCCCAATTGATTGTCATTCTTATAGCCGATAGAGAAAAACTATATTATGACGAAAGGGAATAACATATATGGACATACCACCCATTGTCACGTTTTGTATGCCTATATTAAGATCTTCCTTTTCATTCTCTAAGAGCATTTCTAGTGGGGATTGCTTATAAGCAACCACTGTGCCACATCATGTCACATTAGCTCTTTTTTATTTTATGGGTTGTTTAAATTTTAGCACTGGAACTTTTACAAACAACTTTGCTAAAATTTAAGCAATCCATAAAGTGAAAAAGAGCTGATATGACATGATGTGGCACAGGGGGTTTCTTATAAGCAACCCCCACTACAGATGCTCTAATAACATATTTATTACTATCATGAACAAGGTATTCTATCAATAATAAGAATATATAGATAAAGTTTCTATAAAAGTAAATAAAATAAAAATTTAATAAACATGTGTTGTTAATATAATTTTTTTTACATAGGTGATCAACAAAA